GGTTTGGGCTATATATGTCCTTATTTACTGTTTGTAATGAAGAAATTTGAATATCACTTTCCATACGGTTTGTGAATGTGTGTGCTGATTTCCTTCAAATGTTCAGTGTTAATATTTTACTGCACTATCAACTAATTCTAATTGTATGCATTGAGGCAAAGGATTGGGTTATTTAATAAGGGGATTTTGCAGTGACTGAAATACACTTAGTTCTGGTCAGTGATTCTTGTGAATGTCAATATTATCTAGATTTGAGTGATAATTACAGATATGGTCTCTGAATTGCAATATACTCAGATTTGAAACTATTTTTTTTTTAACACACTGGCTGTCTCCCACTGAGGCAGGGTCACCCAAAAAGGAAACACTTCACCATCATTCATACTATCAGTGTCATGCCAGAGGCATGCAGATATAACAGATATGAAATTTGTTATGAAAACATAGTTTTGAATTTGTGGATTATTGCTCACTGACTGAATTTCTCATGAGAAATTCATCTTTTATTCTATATACACTTTCTATTGCAGAAATTCTTTTTGGACTTTATGCAAATATCTGGAAATTCTTTTAAATAAATTGTCATTCATCCAGTGTTATTACAGTTACACGATTTAAGAAAATATATAGCAGGTATTTTTAACATGATCTGCTTTGCTATAGTAGCAGCGGACAAAGGAATGTACTATAGGCAGACAATTTGGCTGCAGTGATTACAGTATTTTTAAACCACATTGTTGTACATAGATGCTGATGTTGTGATGTTTTATTATGAACATTATGACAATTTTATGTTGATAAAAAAAAATTTAGTACAGGTTGAACGTCACTAATCCGGCATCATCGGGACCTGTAGGGTGTCGGATTAGTGATTTTGCCAGATTACAGATTGGTTAGGTTAGAATACACTTACCCTAACGGCGATATTTACAAATCGGCAATTTTGCTCACTTTACACCCTATTTTTGGCCCATTCCATTGTTCTAATCTATCAAACTCATAGCTGTTTTGCTAGTACGTACATACTTCTATTCTGTCTATTGAGTACAAAAAATCGCCTATTTACCTATTTCAACTACCCAATAAAGTGGTCAGAAATTGGTAATTTGGCCAATTTCACACAAATTTCAAGAGATGCCAATTTCAAAATAGAGTCCAGAATAAACACTGCAGACATTCCTGGCACTAAAATAACATTTTCTCTGTTCATAGCCACGTCTCTAGACCCCTTTTATATTACACTTGCTTTCCATTCTGAATTATTGTAATGTACAAATAATGTCAACCCATTTGTGACTGCGTATTAGACCAACCAGTTGGTCACATATTGGTCACATATTGTTTACTCTTGAACATCGGCAAAAATTGAACATTTCCGCTAATTTGAGCTCAGTCTCAAGGTACTTTCTTTTGTGTAACTAATCAAAATCACATCTATTTTTGTAATATATCTTCCATTCTGTCACATGAGACCACAAAAATAATTTTTTTTTTTTATTATCACACTGGCCGATTCCCACCAAGGCAGGGTGGCCTGAAAAAGAAAAACTTTCACCATCATTCACTCCATCACTGTCTTGCCAGAAGGGTGCTTTACACTACAGTTTTTAAACTGCAACATTAACACCCCTCCTTCAGAGTGCAGGCACTGTACTTCCCATCTCCAGGACTCAAGTCCGGCCCGCCGGTTTCCCTGAACCCCTTCATAAATGTTACTTTGCTCACACTCCAACAGCACGTCAAGTATTAAAAACCATTTGTCTCCATTCACTCCTACCAAACACGCTCACGCATGCCTGCTGGAAGTCCAAGCCCCTCGCACACAAAACCTCCTTTACACCCTTCCTCCAACCTTTCCTAGGCCGACCCCTACCCCGGCTTCCTTCCACTACAGACTGATACACTCTTGAAGTCATTCTGTTTCGCTCCATTCTCTCTACATGTCCGAACCACCTCAACAACCCTTCCTCAGCCTTCTGGACAACAGTTTTGGTAATCCCGCACCTCCTCCTAACTTCCAAACTAGGAATTCTCTGCATTATATTCACACCACACATTGCCCTCAGACATGACATCTCCAATGCCTCCAGCCTTCTCCTCGCTGCAACATTCATCACCCATGCTTCACACCCATATAAGAGCGTTGGTAAAACTATACTCTCATACATTCCCCTCTTTGCCTCCAAGGACAAAGTTCTTTGTCTCCACAGACTCCTAAGTGCACCACTCACCCTTTTCCCCTCATCAATTCTATGATTCACCTCATCTTTCATAGACCCATCCGCTGACATGTCCACTCCCAAATATCTGAATACATTCACCTCCTCCATACTCTCTCCCTCCAATCTGATATCCAATCTTTCATCACCTAATCTTTTTGTTATCCTCATAACCTTACTCTTTCCTGTATTCACTTTTAATTTTCTTCTTTTGCATACCCTACCAAATTCATCCACCAATCTCTGCAACTTCTCTTCAGAATCTCCCAAGAGCAACTGTGACAACTCTCACTTTATGTGTGATTCTTTATCTTTTAAATCCACGCCTCTTGCCAAGACCCTTGCATTTACTTCTCTTACAACCCCATCTATAAATATATTAAACAACCACGGTGACATCACACATCCTTGTCTAAGGCCTACTTTTACTGGGAAATAATTTCCCTCTTTCCTACATACTCTAACTTAAGCCTCACTATCCTCGTAAAAACTCTTCGCTGCTTTCAGTAACCTACCTCCTATACCATACACCTGCAACATCTGCCACATTGCCCCCCTATCCACCCTGTCATACACCTTTTCCAAATCCATAAATGCCACAAAGACCTCTTTATAGCCTTATCTAAATACTGTTCACTTATATGTTTCACTGTAAACACCTGGTCCACACACCCCCTGCCTTTCCTAAAGCCTCCTTGTTCATCTGCTATCCTATTCTCCGTCTTACTCTTAATTCTTTCAATAATAACTCTACCATACACTTTACCAGGTATACTCAACAGACTTATCCCCCTATAATTTTTGCACTCTCTTTTGTCCCCTTTGCCTTTATACAAAGGGACTATGCATGCGCTCTGCCAATCCCTAGGTACCTTACCCTCATCCATACATTTATTAAATAATTGCACCAACCACTCCAAAACTATATCCCCACCTGCTTTTAACATAAAAACCGTACGAAAATGCACCACAAAGTCGCTATTTTACACCAGAAACATGGTCGCAGCTTTTTTCTCATGCACTGTGTGCTGCAGGATTTTTGTTTTTATATAGTTCACACTTACCATACAGGCCTATTCTCTCATGTAGGCCCAGATTTACCGGTCGCAGCTTATCTAAGTGAGCGAACTCATGGCTTCAAAGCCACCTTATCTTTTATGGACTGTGTACAGTTATGTGCTTTACAAAGCAAGAAGCATTTCCTTTATTCATTGGAACCATGGCTAGGGCTAAAAGTGAGCAGGTTATAACAATAAATGGAGAAAAAGAAATTAGAATGATTTGTGCAGCAAGTAGTGCCACCAGTAGCGCAAGTAGCAGCAGGTTGGTGGGACTACCCCGGCAACTTGAAATTATGCTAGCTGAAATTAGTGCCGGATTACTGATGGAACCGTATTACCGATTGCTGGATTAGTGATGGCCAACCTGTATGTGTGATATTGATATACTGTTCTTAATTAATGGGTTACAATGTTATAACATCATACTATGTATGTGCTTTCAGTTAAAATTAGATTGACTCAGTGACAATTAATTTAATTACTGGAATTATTTTAACCCTTTCACTGTCATGACCCTAGAAATTAAAAGTGCTGACAGTGTTGCAATTTTTTCAGAAAAAAATATAATAATTCTGTCTATTGAAATGGGAGGAAATCTTTTTCTGAAGGTAATGGCATCAAAATTGTGAAATTTAATAAAAAATTTGCAGAATTTTGCAGATGCAAAGTTAGCAGTCTGGGCACAATTTATGGAGCAGCAATTTCACCCATTTAGCCCTATTGCTCAGTTTGACCTAATTCCTAGCTATTTCACCAGTATGCATTTTGTTTTATCAATTGAGAACAAGCAACTGCCCATTCACCTATCAGAACTACCCTATAATATGCACAGGAGATAGCATTTGGGTTTATTTTACACAAGATTCAACAAATTCCAGTTTAAAAATAGAATCCAAAATAAACATTATGCATTCTGCCACTAAAGCAATCTTTCCACTGTTAATTAATCACATTCCCAGGCCTCTCCTGTATAACACCATCTCTAAGTTAAAGTTTTACCCTATTGGATAATAAAATATAACCAAGGATTCTTCCATTCTATCACTTGATACCAAAAACAGTTAATAAAACCCTAAACCTACCTCACATCACTTTTCAACCAATCACAAGGCGAGAGGTTTGTTTTCCATCGTGCACTGTGTGGGAGCAGGATTTTTTTTTATGCTATGCACACCCATTGCAAAGACCCATTCTTTCATGTCTAGACCAAAATTTACAGCTCACAGCATACTTGAAGGCACTGCTTAAAACGTAGATTTATGTGAGCAGTACTTTCATCAATAATGTTGGTCTACATGGGAGAGAGTGAAAGGGTTAAAAGAAATTTTACTATTTAATTTTGTGTCTGTTTTAAGAATATGTCAATTTCAATATAAACCCTTTCAATAATTCAGAATATTAGCAGATGGACAACTTTAATGTAGGTGAGAGTACATAGTACAATAATGATTGTTGCTCAGTTTTAGTACTTTCACTTAACTTAAGCTTAATTTTTGAGTCTTTATTATAATATAACATTAAATACTGCATAAATTGAATTAACTTTTATTTCTAGATTAGTCCAATTTTTAAAGAATGAATATATAAATGCAAAGTATAAACTTTGGACAGACTTTGTTCAACCTGAATAATATTAATGAGATAACTAATTATAAGCTGCTATATTGGCAATACATTTATTATTTTGTTATATATGAGCAAAATATTCTCTGTCCAACAGGTTCAAAGATATGGTGGAGTCTGTGATTCGTAATAACCGTGAGAAGTACCACAAGTAAGTTATATTTTACTTTTTAGCTTATTTTGATAATGATTAGTGTCATCACCCCTGCCATCTATAATTACCATATTTCGCAGCTTATTAGAAGCATTTTTCCCCATGAAATGTCTCCAAAAACCACCCTGTGGCCTATTAACTGAAAGTCAGTTATGGGAGTTATAAGTTTTGGGTGTGGGGTGGGCTGTATCTATCTCAGTTACGTCCAGTACCGAGCCATTGAAACTAAAACAAGTCCAGTGTTTTAAAATTACAGTAAATTAATAGTGTTTTGAGACGAGCTATTTATGAAATACGGATTCTGTACTGGGATGTTGACAGAAAACAAAATTCCTCCTTAAGTAACACCTCCCTTTCTTATTTCTTAAACTACCCAAATCACAAAGCAGCATCATTTATGGTAGGCACTTTAAAGTAATGCTACCATATGTTATGCTATCGTTAGCACATGCTGGGTATTTTCACTTTCTTGCTAGGTACCGGTAATTATATTAACTGTATGTTATGGTACTTATGGTGTCAAATATTGCCAAGCAAATACGATGGCCCAACAACAGCTAAAGCAGCCATTATTTTTGTTTATACCAATAGTCACTGACAAAGACACATCAGCATGCACTCTGGGATCCTCACTATATAGTTGCATGCACAGCAGCAGCTCAGCCACCAGCAATTGTTTCACCATTTCAGATTGAGAGATCATCAGGGTGTTCAGGTGAGCACTAGGCCTTTCATATGTTTTGACCTACCCATAAATCAAACGTAACCTTATTTCTGCATGTAAAATTGCCATAGGTTTCGGTGGAGTATATATTACTTGGTATTAGGCACTCTTAACTCTTTTTTCTGATTATTACCTTCTAAATTGGGATGCGTCTAATGTATCGGAGCATCTTATAAGCCGCGAAATACGGTATGTATTTGTGGAGAAAGTGAGCTCCAGCTCTTGGTTCTATCTTTTAGCTTTTGACTAGGTGATATGATGGATCATTACTCAGATCATTCTATCTCTTTACCACTTACAGTGAAGAAGTGTTTTCTGAGAGCCCACTAGCTTATTTGTGTGTACAGGTCTCCCCCAACATTCACGAGGGTTAGGGGATCAAGAGCCTCGCGAATGCTGAAAAATCGCGAATGTTTGGTGCCCCCAATATATTGTAGGGAAATCTAATACAATACTGCTTTTTTTTTCCTTAACCTATTGAACCATGAACAGCCATAAAACACATGAAAACATCATAAAATATGCATTGTATGTACATACATGCTCCTCCCACTCATATATTTGTCCAATCTCTTTCTAAAGCTACCTAAGGTCCAGTCGATGCTAAAATCTTGGGTAGTTTCAAATTTAGGTTGGATAAATACATGAGTGAGAGGGGTTGGATTTGAGTGGGATTTGGACGTGAGTAGATAGAATTATCAAAGCTTATTGCTTGGGTAGCATTTATTCTGTTAGTGGGTTGGATTTGTGAATTGCCTGCCAAGTATAAGCCAACAGGCCTACTGCAGATTTCCTCCTTTCTTATGTTGATGATATCACATTCTACTCAGATCAAATGATTCTCACTTGAAAAAGTTGTCCAAGGTGTTTTCTCTTCTGTACCACGGTGTCTTTGTGTTGCAGTGTCTGACAGAGTGAATATCAAAATTGGGTAGAATTTACAGAGGGGCATAAAAATTTGATTTTAAGTGTGATATACCGTCCACCAAACTTGGACAGAGACCGAGGAAGACTACTCTGGGAGGAAATTGTTAAGGCCACAAGGCACGACAATGTTGTGATTCTAGGGGACTTTAACTTTAGTAATATTGATTGGAATTTTCTAGCTGGGAACTTAGAATCTAACGACTTTTTAGAAGTAGCTCAGGATTATTTTTTGAAGCAGTTTGTGACAGAACCTACAAGGGGAAATAACCTGCTTGACTTAGTTCTGGCAAACAAGGAATCCCTTGTTAATAATTTAGAAATTTCAGAGGAACTTGGTGCTAGCGACCACAAATCAATTACATTTAGCATTGAATGGAAGTATGATAGTAGGGATAACTCAGTAACAGTCCCAGATTTTCGCTTAGCAGATTACGATGGGCTTAGAGACACTTATCTGTTGACTGGGGTAATGAAGAGTGCTGTCAGTATGACAGTTTTCTGAACATTATACATGCTGCCCAAAGAACATTTATCCCGTATAAAGAAATTAGATCAAACAGAAATGATCCAAAATGGATGAATAATAGGCTCAAATATCTTTTAGGGCATAAGAAAGGAATTTATAGGCATATCAAAAGAGGTGAGTCATCTTATGAATCAGTATATTGACATTAAGAGGGACGTTAAAAAGGGGATAAGAAAAGCTAAACGGGACTACGAAATTAAAGTTGCCAGGGATTCAAAAACTAACCCAAAAAGTGTTTTCCAGGTGTATAGAACAAAAGTTAGAGATAAGATAGGTCCCCTTAAAAATAACTATGGGCATCTTACTGACAAAGAGAATGAAATGTGCTCAATTTTAAATAATTATTTTATCTCGACTTTTACACAGGAAGACACTAACTATATCCCAGTAATTCATTTTTATAGTGGGTCTGAAGAAGATAAATTAAGTAACATCACAGTCACTAGTGAAATGGTTATGAAACAAATAGACCGACTGAAGCAAAATAAGTTGCCGGGACCTGATGAGCTTTTTTCAAGGGTTCTTAAGGAATGCAAAATGGAACTCTCTGAACCATTAACTAATATTTTTAATTTATCTCTTCAAACAGATGTTGTGTCTGATATGTGGAAGATGGCTAATGTAATTCCTATTTTTAAATCGGGATAAGTCATTACCGTCAAATTTCCGCCCAATAAGCCTGACCTCAATTGTAGGCAAATTGCTAGTCAATTATAGCTGAGACTATAAGAAGCCATCTGAATAAGCGTAATCTGATTAATGATACTCAGCATGGATTCACGAGAGGCCGTTCTTGTCTAACCAGTTTATTAACTTTCTTCAGTAAAGCTTTTGAGGCTGTTGATCACGATAAAGAATTTGATATTATTTACTTAGATTTTAGTAAGGCTTTTGATAGAGTTCCGCACCAAAGACTGTTAAAGAAAGTGGCAGCTTATGGCATTGAAGGAAAAGTGCTGTCATGGATCGAGTCATGGCTCACAGACAGGAAGCAGAGAGTGTCCATAAATGTGGTTAAATCCGAGTGGGGATCTGTAACAAGTGGCGTTCCACTGGGATCAGTCTTGGGCCCGTTGTTGTTTATAATATAGTATGTCAATGATCTTGATGAGGGAATTACTAGTGAAATGAGCAAATTCGCCGATGACACAAAGATAGGTAGGATAATTGATTCAAATGTAGATATCAGGGAACTTCAGGAGGTGCAACTCTTGGGTATCTTTATTGAGGAAACATTTTGCCACACAGTGGCTTTATCAGTCCATAGAAAGGAGAAACATGAAGAACAGAAGGAGAAAGAGGTAATCAGTCCCTCAACCTTGAGTCGATGTGGTCAGTCCATCAATCTTGAATAGAATACCATAAGAACTGAGGGACTGAGGGAGAATGAGGTAATCACAGACTGATTACTTCATTCTCCTCCTGTTCTTCACGTTTCTCCTTTCTATGGACTGATGAAACCACTGTGTGGCAAAACGTTTCCTCAGTAAAGATACCCAAGAGTTGCACATGTGTCTAATTTTTCAACTTGTTGGTTCTCTGAACCATTCATCTACAACTTCAGGAGGATTTAGACAAACTCAATACCTGGTCAGAAAAGTGGCAGATGCAGTTCAGTGTTGATAAATGTAAGGTTCTGAAGCTCGGGAGTGTCTACAACCCTAGGACTTGTAGGCTAAATAACGTAGAACTTAGCCATACAGATTGCGAAAAGGACTTGGGGGTTATGATAAGCAGCAACCTTAAACCAAGACAGCAATGCCTAAGTGTATGTAATAAGGCAAACAGATTACTGGGATTTATATCAAGAAGTGTAAGCAACAGAAGATCAGTGGTTATATTACAGCTTTATACATCATTAGTAAGGCCTCACCTAGATTATGCAGCTCAGTTCTGGTCTCTATATTACAGAATGGACATAAATTCGTTAGAAAACGTTCAGCGTAGAATGACTAAATTAATACATAGCATTAGAAATCTTCCTTATGAAGAAAGATTGAGGACCCTTAACCCGTAAATGGTCCAAACGTATATATACGTTTTTTCAACATTTGAAAGTATGTCAAAAAAGTAGATCTTCTTTTTGTTTTTTTTACATTTGAAAATGTGTAAAAAAACTTTGATCTACTTTTTTTTTTTTTTTTTGTTATATTTGAAAATATGTAAAAAAAAACGTAGATCTACTTTTGTAGCACTACACATGTGAACATAGATCTGCTTGGACCGTTTACGGGTTAAATTACATTCACTTGTTAGACGAGGAATGAGGGGAGACATGATAGAAGTGTATAAGTGGAAGATGGGTATTAATAAAGGAGATATTAATAAGGTCTTGAGGATATCTCTCCAAGAGAGAACCCGCAGTAATGGATTTAAATTGGACAAGTTTAGATTTAGAAAGGACGTTGGAAAGTATTAGTTTGGAAGTAGGGTAGTTCATGAGTGGAACAGTCTGCCTAGTTGGGTTATTGAGGCTAGGACTTCGGGTAGTTTCAAATTTAGGTTGGATAAATACGTGAGTGAGAGGGGTTGGATTTGAGTGGGACTTGCATATAAGAACATAAGAATGGAGGAACACTGCAGAAGGCCTACTGGCCCATGCAAGGTAGGTCCTTATCAAAACGACCACTACCCAAAGCTACCCTAGAATTTACTCCCATACCCAATGACACCAATCAAACCCAGCCCCTCCCACTCATATATTTGTCCAATCTCTTTTTAAAGCTACCCAAGGTCCTAACCTCGATCACCCCACTGGGAAGATTGTTCCACGCATCCACAACTCTGTTAGAAAACCAGTACTTACGTATGTCTTTTCTAAATCTAAATTTTTCTAACTTAAATCAATTATTTCTGGTTCTTACCTGGTTCGACACCCTCATTACTTCACCAATATACCGTTACCGGAACAGGTCAAGGATCCCCAGACAGCTTATATATTTAGGACTTTGCTAAAAAATCGTCTTATCTCACAATATTAACCAAATAAACCAAACATCTACTGACTAGTTTTATCATGTGACTACCTGGCTTTTAATTCTGCCATTCCATAAAATATTACCACCTGCACCATTCCGTGTAAATTAGATTTTGTACTAAGTATACATAAGATTTATTAAGTCCAAATAAGATTGTAAAACAGCTAACCACTATTCTATGTTTAGTTTTAAGTATAATTGCTATGTACTATTCTCTTATCTAGTTTTAATTAGTTACTGTGTATTAGGATTAGTTTGCCCGAAATGCCTCGGCATGATAGTGGCTATCTTTGTACTTGGCAAATCAAAATTGTAATTACACATTGTAAATTTTACAAAGAAATAAACTTGTTATTTTTTTTCAACAAACCGGCCGTATCCCACCGAGGCAGGGTGGCCCAAAAGAAAAACAAAAGTTTCTCTTTTTAAATTTAGTAATTTATACAGGAAAAGGGGTTACTAGGCCCTTGCTCCTGGCATTTTAGTCACCTCTTACAACACGCATGGCTTACGGAGGAAGAATTCTGTTTCACTTCCCTGTGGAGATAAGAGGAAATAAACAAGAACAAGAACTGGAAAGAAAATAGAAGAAAAGCCAGAGGGGTGTGTATATATACACTTGTACATGTATGTGTAGTGTGACCTAAGTGTAAGTAGAAGTAGCAAGACGTATCTGAAATCTTGCATGTTTATGAGACAGAAAAAAGACACCAGCAATCCTACCATCATGTAAAACAATTACTACAGGTTTCCGTTAAACTTATTATTATTATTATTTATTATTATTAATGTTGTTACCACTATACTTTCGTACATTCCCTTCTTTGCCTCCATGGTAAACGTTCTTTGTCTCCACAGATATCTCTATGCACCACTAACCTTTTTTTCCTTCATCAATTCTATGGTTAACCTCATCCTTCATAAACCCATCCACTGGCAAGTCAACTCCCAAATATCTGAAAACATTCACTTCTTCCATACTCCCTTCCTCCAATGTGATATCCAGTTTTCCTTTATCTAAATCATTTGATACCCTCATCACCTTACTCTCATCTATGTTCACTTTCAACTTTCTACCTTTACATCAATTTTTATTAATCCGTTTTATTTTAAAACTATTGTATCCATTCCCTTGTCTGTCTCCATACATTTCTTTCATATTTTGGGCAATTGGGAGATTGACCAAGAGTTATCTAATTATTTTTATCTGCAAAATGTTTAATGTAAATCAATATTGTAACAGGCATTTCCAGTTTGGGTGGACTGGTACACCTGGTTTAGCAAACAGCATTGCAATGGAACGGCTCCCACTCCCATCTTTGCTAGTAGTAAATGCAACAACAATGCATCATCATCTGCCTGAGGATCCACCACAACACCTCACATCAGCTGCTATTGAAATGTTTTTGGATTCCATCATAGCAGAAACTGCCCCGGTAAGTTCAAGTATTCTGCAGTTTTTATTATCCTGTGTGAATATATCTGTACAATATTTCTGAATTTATTTTTTAATACATTGGCTATTTTCCTCCAAGGTGGGGTGACCCAAAGAAGTAAACGCACTCATTATTCATTCAATAGCTGTCTTGTTAAAAGTTTGAAGTACAGTGCAGGCACTGTACCTCAAACCTCCAGGACTCCTGAAATCCAGTCAAATCTTAGAAATATCTTGCCTCCGACTTAACACACTTGCACGTGCTTGCTGGATCCTCGAACTCCTACCCTTACTTCCATCCCTTTCTGGGATGACGCTCTTGATCACATCCTATTCTAATTGAAAGTATAGAAGAAGTGTATGTATTTAGGTATTTGGGAATTGATATGCTTGCAGATGGTGTTCGGGTATGAAAGGTATAATTCAGATTATGGCAGAAGGGTGTTGAGATGGTTTGGTCATTTAGAAAGGAAGGAATACTAACATTTTGTATTCTCTGCATAATATTCACACCACACGTTGATCTCAAATATGGCATTTCTGCTACCTCCAACATATGAATACTCAAGCAACTACAAGGTATAACTACAGTAGGGCCCTGCTTTACGGCATTTTGCTTTACAGTGTTCCTCTAATATGGCAATTTCAAATTATGACCAAAATTTGCTATACGGCGAGTGGTCTTTCAAATATAGCATGCCCCACCCGGTTTGTTTACATTCTCCATAAGCACATCTCTCTATTATGTCTGGAAACTTTTCAAAATTTCAAGTGTTTTAAAGTTTTTGCGTATTTTATATACAGCATACTCTGATAATTATACTTATGTGTACCTGTACCAAATATACTTACACCTTATGCTGGCATGCAGCTACACGTTAAAATCACTAAGTCTCTCTCTCTACTGAGCACCATATAATAATCTCTTAGGCACATTAAATGTCATATATTACGTTAATATAGATATTTCCATTAATCCATCTTTGATATTTTTCAAAATTATATAATAAACATGCTACATAACATATAAACATGATACGTACACCCACAGTAAATATAAGATTTGTTTACATAGCGGTTGGTAGGAGTGTTGGAAGAATTAAGTTTTCTCTAGTCAGGCACTAGTTGCTTAACTGTAGAAAAATATTCCTTTCATATGCCTTCTATGTATAGCTATTCATGACCCTTGTGGGTTTAGCACTTCTTTTTTTATTATGATTATAATGATAACTTGCAATAATAATAATAATAATAATAACTTGTAATAATAATTTGTAATAATATGCACTCTGAGTAAGTAAGTTTTTTCAGGAATACACAAATACAGTTACATATATTATCACACATAGCAGCATATGTGTAGGGAACCTAAGGTAACCCAAAAAACTCAGTGAGACTCATTAAATGTCGTACAAAATGTTAATATAGACATTTTGCTTAATCCATCTATGATATTTTTTCAAAATTATATAATAAACATGCTACATAGCATTTTTTTTTTTTCTCAACAAGTCGGCCATCTCCCACCGAGGCAGGGTGACCCAAAAAAGAAAGAAAATCCACAGAAGGAAAATACTTTCATCATTATTCAACACTTTCACTACACTCGCACATTATCACTCTTTTTGCAGAGGTGCTCAGAATACAACAGTTTAGAAGCATATACGTATAAAGATGCACAACATATCCCTCCAAACTGCTAATATCCCAAACCCCTCCTTTAAAGTGCAGGCATTGTACTTCCCATTTCCAGGACTCAAGTCCGACTGTATGAAAATAACCGGTTTCCCTGAATCCCTTCACTAAATATTACCCTGCTCACACTCCAACAGATCGTCAGGTCCCAAGTACCATTCGTCTCCATTCACTCCTATCTTACACACTCATGCACGCTTGCTGGAAGTCCAAGCCCCTCGCCCACAAAACCTCCTTTACCACCTCTCTCCAACCCTTTCGAGGACGACCCCTACCCTGCCTTCCTTCCCCTATAGATTTATATGCTTTCCATGTCATTCTACTTTGATCCATTCTCTCTAAATGACCAAACCACCTCAACAACCCCTCTTCTGCCCTCTGACTAATGCTTTTATTAACTCCACACCTTTTCCTAATTTCCACACTCCGAATTTTCTGTATAATATTTACACCACACATTGCCCTTAGACAGGACATCTCCACTGCCTCCAACCGTCTCCTCGCTGCTGCATTTACCACCCAAGCTTCACATCCATATAAGAGTGTTGGTACTACTATACTTTCATACATTCCCTTCTTTGCCTCCATAGATAACATTTTTTGACTCCACATATACCTCAACGCACCACTTGCCTTTTTTCCCTCATCAATTCTATGATTAACCTCATCCTTCATAAATCCATCCGCCGACACGTCAACTCCCAAGTATCTGAAAACATTCACTTCTTCCATACTCCTCCTCCCCAATTTGATATCCAATTTTTCTTTATCTAAATCATTTGATACCCTCATCACCTTACTCTTTTCTATGTTCACTTTCAACTTTCTACCTTTACACACACTCCCAAACTCATCCACTAACCTTTGCAATTTTTCTTTAGAATCTCCCATAAGCACAGTATCATCAGCAAAAAGTAACTGTGTCAATTCCCATTTTGAATTTGATTCCCCATAATTTAATCACACCCCTCTCCCGAACACCCTAGCATTTACTTCTTTTACAACCCCATCTATAAATATATTAAACAACCATGATGACATTACACATCCCTGTCTAAGACCTACTTTTACCGGGAAGTAGTCTCCTCTTCTACACACCCTAACCTGAGCCTCACTATCCTCATAAAAACTCTTGACAACATTTAGTAACTTACCACCTATTTCATATACTTGCAACATCTGCCACATTGCTCCTCTATCCACTCTATCATATGCCTTTTCTAAATCTATAAATGCAATAAAAACTTCCCTACCTTTATCTAAATACTGTTCACATATATGCTTCAACATAAACACTTGATCTACACATCCCCTACCCACTCTGAAACCTCCTTGCTCATCCGCAATCCTACATTCTGTCTTACCTCTAATTCTTTCAATTATAACCCTACCGTACACTTTTCCTGGTATACTCAGTAAACTTAATCCTCTATAATTTTTACAATCTCTTTTGTCCCCATTCCCTTTATATAAAGGGACTGTACATGCTCTCCGCCAATCCCTAGGTACCTTCCCATCTTTCATACATTTATTAAACAAAAGTACCAACCACTCCAACACTATATCCCCTGGAAATATAAACACAAATGCAGTATAATGTGATCCTTTATTTACTACGTTTCGCCCACACAGTGGGCTTTTTCAAGTCACAAACAGAACTACCTGGGGTGGAAGGAACGCGAGTATTTATAGTCCGGTTCAGAATGCTGAGGTCAGGTGAAGAATGCTGCATCTGATGATGTACCGAGTGGGGTTATAGAGTCTAAAAACTTGGGTAGCTTGGAAAGGAGATTGGATAAGTTTGTGAGCAGACCTTCTATAGTGTTCTTATGTGGGATAGCGATGAAGAAGTTTCTTGGCAAGTGGTTCAGCTATGTTATAGAAGCCACTATTCTGGTTGAAGTTGTCGGATATAGAAATAAGTGATGATTCCAGGATTCTTCGGTATTGAGTGTTGTCTTCTGTGGCGATAAGTCTTGAGTTTCTGTAGTTTATCAAGTGGTTGTGTGAATTACGGTGTTGTACGCAGGCATTCCTTGTGTCGTCAGACCTGCTTGCGTATTGGTGTTCTGAAATACGTGTTTGGAGGTCCCTTGATGTTTCGCCCACGTATAACTTGTTGCAGTCATTACAAGGGATTATGTATACCCCTGCAGAGGATGGAGGCTTGTCCTGTCTACTACTGGTGATGTCCTTGATGGTCGTGGTTGTGGAGGTAGATACTTGGAATGATGTTTTGGCAAAGATGTTGGAAACATGTTTGGCAATGGAGTTGGTGGGAAGGACTATGTATCTCTTCTCGGCAGTGTCTTCTCTGGGTGTGTTGAAGATGTTTAATGCCCGCCGTCTGCAGTCTACCTCCACAACCACGACCATCAAGGACATCACCAGTAGTAGACAGGACAAGCCTCCATCCTCTGCAGGGGTATACATAATCCCTTGTAATGACTGCAACAAGTTATACGTGGGCGAAACATCAAGGGACCTCCAAACACGTATTTCAGAACACCAATACGCAAGCAGGTCTGACGACACAAGGAATGCCTGCGTACAACACCGTAATTCACACAACCACTTGATAAACTACAGAAACTCAAGACTTATCGCCACAGAAGACAACACTCAATACCGAAGAATCCTGGAATCATCACTTATTTCTATATCCGACAACTTCAACCAGAATAGTGGCTTCTATAACATAGCTGAACCACTTGCCAAGAAACTTCTTCATCGCTATCCCACATAAGAACACTGTAGAAGGTCTGCTCACAAACTTATCCAATCTCCTTTCCAAGCTACCCAAGTTTTTAGACCTATAACCCCACTCGGTACATCATCAGATGCAGCATTCTTCACCTGACCTCAGCATTCTGAACCGGACTATAAATACTCGCGTTCCTTCCACCCCAGTTAGTTCTGTTTGTGACTTGAAAAAGCCCACTGTGTGGGCGAAACGTAGTCAATAAAGGATCACATTATACTGCATTTGTGTTTATATTTCCATTGTGTCGGTATTTTATACCATTTATTTCCACTATATCCCCTCCTGCTTTTAACATTTCTGTCATGATCCCATCAGTTCCAGCTGCTTTACCCCCTTTCATTCTACCCGCAGTAATGGATTTAAATTAGATAAGTTTAGATTTAGAAAGGACATAGGAAAGTATTGGTTTGGAAATAGGGTAGTAGATGAGTGGAACAGTCTACCTAGTTGGGTTATTGAGGCTAGGACTTTGGGTAGTTTCAAATTTAGGTTGGATAAATACATGAGTGGGATGGGTTGGATTTGAGTGGGACTTGCACATCAGAGCTTATTTCTTGGGTAGCATTGAAAATTGGGTTGGTCAAATGTTTGTTAGTGGAATGAATTGTAAAGGACCTGCCTAGTATGGGCCAACAGGCCTGCTGCAGTGTTCCTCCTTTCTTATGTTCTTATGTTCTTATGTTCTTATGTAATGCCTCGCGTACCTCCCCCACACTTACATTCTGCTCTTCTTCACTCCTAAAAGATGGTATACCTCCCTGACCAAGTGCATGAAATTACCGCCTTCCTTTCTTCCTCAACATTTAAAAGTTCCTCAAAATATTCTCGCCATCAACCTAATACCTCCATCTCCCCATCTACTAACTCCCCTACTCTGTTTTTAACTGACAAATCCATACTTTCCCTAGGCTTTCTTAACTTGTTTAACTCACTCCAAAATTTTTTCTTATTTTCATTAAAATTTCATGACAGTGCCTCTCCCACTCTATCATCTGCTCTCCTTTTGCACTCTTTCACCACTCTCTTCACCTTTCTTTTACTCTCCATATACTCTGCTCTTCTTATAACACTTCTGCTTTGTAAAAACCTCTCATAAGCTACCTTTTTCTCTTTTATCACACCCTTTACTTCATCATTCCACCAATCACTCCTCTTTCCTCCTGCTTCCACCCTCCTATAACCACAAACTTCTGCCCCACACTCTAATAGTGCATTTTTAAAACTATTCCAACCCTCTTCAACACCCCCACTACTCATCTTTGCACTAGCCCACCTTTCTGCCAATAGTCGCTTATATCTCACCCGAACTTCCTCCTCCCTTAGTTTATACACTTTCACCTCCCTCTTACTTGTTGTTGCCACCTTCCTCTTTTCCCATCTACCTCTTACTCTAACTGTAGCTACAACTAAATAATGATCCAATATATCAGTTGCCCCTATATAAACATGTACATCCTGGAGCCTAGCCATCAACCTTTTATCCACCAATACATAATCTAACAAACTACTTTCATTACGTGCTACATCATACCTTGTATATTTACTTATCCTCTTTTTCATAAAATATGTATTACTTATTACCAAATCTCTTTCTACACATAGCTCAATTAAAGGCTCCCCATTTACATTTACCCCTGGCACCCCAAATTTACCTACTACTCCCTCCATAACATTTTTACCCACTTTAGCATTGAAATCCCCAACCACCATAGCATATAAACATGATAAATATACCCACAGTAGAATAAATTAAGACTTTTTAAATGTCAAAGTATATTAGGTGTGGGTGGGGTGGGGTAGCCTGGCTGACTACCAGTCCTACCACACCTAACTTCTTACAGTAAACACTACTCACTTTTCCCCCTACATTAAGACTACAAATATTTTGAGGTAAGTGGTGAGTGTACTGTGTGTGTATTTTACTTTTTATGGTTTTTTAATCCTTGTTCTATTGCTAACTTAATATATGTTAGTGTAAACTCATCATCTGACATTCATAATTGGAAACAAATAGCGTTCTGCTTTCCGGCGATGTCTGCTTTCCGGCAGTGGCCTGGAACCTAACCTGCTGTATAAGTGGGGCCCTACTGTATATGTGACTGGCTACCAGGAGCCAGTATTTACTGCCATACTTTTGATAATAACTTGGGTTGCAATTTTTATGATAAGTCTGCTACAGCAGTACAGCATCTACAAAATCAGCAGTATCCACAAAATTATTGGACTGTGCAATAGTACATAATGGTTGGTAGACAGCAACTGCCCAGGAAGGTACTACTGTCCTGTCATAGCAGCATGAAATGGAAGACTGTTAACAATATTCATCTTTTCTTCCTTTTCCATGAACATACACAAGATGTCAGGTAAATCTTACAATCTTCTCTTAGAATTTTTTTTTTTTTAATGTATAATTCAAAGAGAGGATCATGGTTGAATCATGAAAGAATGGAACAAGATAGGTTGATAAAGATGATATATAAATCCTGGGTATATGGAAGGAGATAGAGGAGTATTTACAAATGAAGAGTTAGATGGAGGGTGTATAAAGGGGAGTTGAGAAGTGGATGCTTAGACATTCGACAGGCATATATATACTGTATGTGAATGGAAATGGGTGTTATAGAATTTAATATTTATGAAGAGAGATCTAGAAACAGGCTAACAGGTCTTTCAGCAGCTTCAGTAAGTGATCTTAAGTGTCTATGATGAGAGTGCAGTTAATAGACTGAAGTTTGCTAGATCAACATTGGACAATGGACCATGACTTTTGTGCCCTTCTGGAAAGGCAACCAGAGAGCATGAAATGATGATTGTTTACTTTTTTTTGGTCACCTTGCCTAAGCAGGATATTGCTGATGGATTAAACCTTGTGCAAATGATTGCATTATGATGTGTATGGATGGTCATGTTTTTTAGAGGCAATATTAATAATTAGTAAAAGATAATGCAAACATGTTTACATTTTCTGCTGTTAATAATACATTTATCCAGTGGTGGGCACAGTTCTGCTAACCGCTAATAGCGGAACTAACTTTCTGTTTAGCAGATTAGCATTTCCACTAAATTCGGAAACCGTTAACAGACCAATTAGCTTCCGCTAAATAAAATTCCGCTAATTTTGAGTCTGCTAAAAAAAATTCATATGTTAATGGTAGTTGGAAAGCAATGCCTTTTCAACAGCATACGTGTTTGTTCCTGTCTAGTCTTAGTGTCAGCGATCACCGGGGTGCGTTGTCACTCATTGTTATGAACAGGGGAGACGTTTCTGTTCCGCCTGAGGGTATTGTTGAGGAGTCTACAGTGGCTGTAGTTGAAGCAAAAGCCACTCAGGCTGAGGGCCAAAAGTTTCAGAACCCGTGACCCCTCCTGGATGACTATTTTGTCCTCAAGTCAAGGGATACAAAAAACGCCAATATTTTGTACTTCCTGTGCATCATGTGCCAGCCCAAGGAGACCATCATCAAGGGACAGGCAGCAAGCCTCTACAACTTGAAGTCGCACGTTAAGAGGAAACACCCAGCGCATGCCATCAAGTTTGAGGAGAGAATCAAGGCCGGATCTTCCCGTAGAAAACACGTGCAATCTTCTTGTGGCAGAGCCACTAGCAGGAGCAACAGCCAGCCATCACAGCTGCCTTCAAAGAGTGCACGCCAGACCACCATTGGCGAAGCATTTGTTGCTGCTGGCACTAGCGTTTGTCAGTCTGTGGTGGACGCAAAGATTGTGGACATATTTGTTTGCAACATACTACAGCTGCATGTAGTGGAATCCCCCACCTTTGTCAGCCTGATCAAGATGCTGAACCCCAGCAAGATGTTGATGTCCTGCTGCACCCTGGGCAGGAGGATTTTGGCCAGCCATAAACAGCTGGAGGAGTATTTTATAAGGTATTTGAGTTATTAGTGCTTATGAAACTACTACTATGGATTTTTTTATATTTTCTTAATTTTTGTGGGTATTCCAAGTTAAGACAGTTTAGAAGTACAGTACCTTTCCCAGTGTTGTAAAGTAACAAGGTAAAACTACCTGAGTACTGTACATCAATAATTTTTCTCAGTGTTTACTTTACAAAAATTACTGATGATATAACAAGTAACATATTGTTATCAGACTGTAGTGAAGAAAAATAATAACAGACTTCAGTACTTAAGTAAAAGTAGTGAGCAATTTCAGTACTTTTTAAAAAGTTAATACCAACATTGTGTAGTTTTAAAAATAGGTTAGATAAATACATGAGTGGGTGTGGGTGGGTGTGAGTAGGACCTGACTAACTTGTGCTACTAGGTCAGATGCCATGCTCCTTAAGTGAATGTGACCTACCCGACTAGGTTAGGGCATTGGCTTAAGCCTATGAATTGGACCTGCCTCACATGGGCCAATAGGCCTACTGCAGTGTTCCTTCTTTCTTATGTTCTTAAAAAAGTTACTTAAGTAGAGTACTCAAGTAGTTTTACTACATCACTATACAACACTGGTACTTATACTTGAATATCATTACAGCGACAAGTGTGTCCTTGTTGGTCACTCGCTTTACATCACAAAATTAAACAGTCACTATTTTTACACTAGTGGCACTTGGCATTCTTTATCTTGTTAGGAAGCTCTCCAGGTCTGTTCTAAAAGTCTTAAAAGTAAAAGTAAAAGACCAAAAAACTAAATTGAATCTGAATTCATGCGTTAGCTTCCGCTAGTTTTTTTGGCCATTTAGCGGTTTAGCGTTAGCGGAGCTAATTTTTTAGTTAGCAGATTAGAGGTTAGTGAAGCTGTGCCCACCACTGCATTTATCATCACTATTTGATTATATTATTTTTATATTTTGGCATAATCTATCTTCCATCAGTCCTATGGCGGAGACTCGTGGCCTATAAGAATTTTTCGTGCTTATTACAATGCCAAAACTTCGCTGGAAGAAATGTGGCAAGGCAACCCAGTATTAACAGCAGTACTTTTTGGTCTGCCACTGGGCTTTCTGTCTTTAATATGCTATTCCATCTGGTGTTCTGATATTTTGGATGCAGATGATGAAGAAGGTAAGCTCTCTGTTTGTGATGTCTTTAGAGGATAATGTAAAATTCATAGTACTTCCAGAAATGTTGTGCATTACAGCCTCTCCGCACTTACCAACGTACTGTCATTTACTGACAACTCTGAGTTACGACGGGCTCTCTGAGGAGGTGTTATTGTATACTGTATGAGAACTTGGGTCGTGAACAGGCAGCGCAGCATCTCAGCAGCAAGCATCTTACTCTCCTTCTTACAGCCATTCAGTACACTAGCTTTAACAGTCACCTAGACTACATATTTGTACAAACTTCCTCTTGTTTTTCCTCTTGGAAGAGGAAAAACAAGAGGAAAATTGAAGAAGTACAAAAGAAGTTCACAGTAAAGAGGTTAGCTGGTGTGTTCTTTTGTGTGTTTGCATTCTCAGTGTATCGTGGCAACTTAAGAAATGATTAAAATCTGTGAACAGGATATGTCAATAGTAATAATAATTATTATAATAATATAATAATAATAATAATAATAATAAATATTAATCACTCTGGAGTGCTTTAAATGTCAGCTACCAAATCTATATGAAATACAGTACTTATGACATTTCAGGTGCTCCAGATCGATTATTTATTATTATTATTATTATTATTATTACTACTATAAATTATTATTACACGGGAACCCCAGATTTCAGCCGTAATCCATTCCAGAACGTCAGCCTAAAACTGAAAAGGCCGAAAACCGAAGTAATATTTCCCATAAGTATTAATGTTAATGCAATTAATCCATTCCAGATACCCAAAAATATTAACAAAATATACATTTTTTAAAGATTAAATATAGTTTTACATAAGTTTAAATAAGATTGTAAAACAGTTAACCACTACTTCTAGTCTAGTTTTAAGTATAGTTACTATGTGCTATTATCTTATCTAGTTTTAATTAGTTACTATGTATTAGTATTAGTTTGCCCAAAATGCCTTGGCATGAAAGTGGCTATCTTTGTACTTAGCAAATCTAAATTGTAATTACACATTGTAACCTTTACAAAGAAATAAACTACTTTATTGAAGATTCTTGTTGCCATATGGAAGACAGGGAGGACTGATTATTGTTTGGAAGGGATATCCCCTCCATAAGGACTTCGGGTATCAAGTCCCTATCTGGGGTTACTTCCCTTCTTTGTCTTACTGGCACTAGGACAAGCTTGAGAGTCACTGCACTCCTGTTGCAAAAAAAAAAAACTGTCCAGAGAGGTCTGTTTCTGGCATCTCTCTAAAATTTGCCTGAAGGTTTTGTCACTGAACATGTTGCAGATATGGCTTGTTTCAGCTTGGTCAGGGTGATATTTCTCCACAAAACTTTGCACCTCCCTCCACTTTGCACAAATGTCCTTAATCACTGAAGAAGGCACCTTCCTCCCTCTCTCTTCCTCCTCCTCTGAAGCAATTTTCTCAGCTGTGGTCTGTTACTGTTGCAGATGACGGTCTTGCAGCTCTTCAGTGGTTAGCTCTTGGGCCCATGGTGGTTTATTTCACAGTCGCACTCAATAAACAACCACAAAACACAATGGATTATAACGAAATGTTGGATGAATGCGCGGAGTGTTGCTTACTCACTGAAAGACACATCCAGACTGACTCGCGCACGTGGCATGGCAGGCGGACACGTTCAATACAGCAAATTTCCAAGTTGCCAGCTGAAATCCAGGATAGAATTTCGGTGAAAAAAGCAGCCGAAATCCAATTTGGCCGATATCCAGGGGTCCACTGTATTATAATAATAATAATAAATGCTATTTTTGCATTTTTTCTTATGACAAGAGTGATCTAGGAGTGTTTCCTCTGACGTAAACACCGTTTTCTTTCATTATAGACCAGAGGTACAGATGAGAAAACGTATCTAGTATCTTATGATCTTATCCCAGAGTGGCGACCTCTGCCTTCACCCCACTTACGTAATATGGCACAAATTATTCATTTCAGCGTCTTTATTACAGTTCTAGGGCATTTATCGTGTTTCTGATATCAATTTTGAATAAATGTAATAGATAACCTTTATTAGTATTATTACTAGTATTACCAGGTACTGAATGCTACTGCTCGCCTCTCCGTCTCTCATTTAGCTCCTCCCACTTTGTAACGATGTTATGGGGTGAATTTAATGTATTAAACAGAAACATTAAAAAAAAGAAAAAATCAGAAAAAAATTCTGAATATTTACTACATGTTCAGATGTATATTACTCACATTGCCATAAAAATAATTTTTGTTAAAAGACTATAATTCTTTGCAAAAACATGGTACAAAGATGATACTTGTACCAGAATGTTGCCAGGTTCTTAAGCTATTTTTCTCTAAGCTTACATCGTTGTACAGGTCTGCCATCACAAATCTGGCATCATTGGGACCTGTAGTGTGCCGAATTATTGAGTTCGCCAAATTACAGAATGGTTAGGTTAGAGTACACTTAACCCCTTGACTGTCGCAACCCCAAATCCTGAGGTGTCTCCTGGTGTCGCAAAATTTAAAAAAAAAAAAAAATAATTTTTTTCTTATGAAATGATAAAGAATCTTTTCCGGATTGTAATGACACCAAAAGAATGAAATTTGATGGAAAACTGATGGAATTACGCTCTCTCAAAGTTAGCGACCTTGGTGATATTTATGAATCGGCGATTTCGCCCACTTTGAGCCCTATTTTTGGCTAATTCCATTGTTCCAGTTGACCAAACTCATACCTATTTCTTTAGAACTCCATTTTTTCTATCGATTGAGTACAAGAAACTACCCATTTACCGATTTCAACTACCCAATAACATGGTCAGAAATTTGCAATTTGGCCAGTTTCACGAAAATTAAAAAATATGACAATTTCAAAATAGGGTCCAGAATGAACAATGCAGACATTTCTGGCTCTAAAATAACATTTTCTTTGTTCATTAGTCATGTCTCCAGGCCCTTCTGATATTACTCTTGCTTTCTATTTTGAATTTTTGTTCAATCAAAAAAATAGAATATTTACTGTTATGCAGACTACTGCAATATTGTAATAATTGTATAAATAATGTCAATTCATTCTTGACTGCATATCAGAATGGCTACTTGGACGTTTATTGGAAAATGACATCATTTGTTTACTTTTGAACATCGGCAAAAATCAAACATTTCCTGTAATTTGAGCTTCATTTCAAGGTTCTTTTCTGTTTCTATAATATGCTTTCCATTCTATCAAATGAGACCAAGAAAACGAGACTACAACCATAAATACTATACAAAAATAGACCACAAAGTCGGCATTTTCATTAAAAAAAAACGGTAGAGTTTTTTTTTCTCATTATGCACTGCTTGCTGCAGGATTTTTTTTGTATAGTGCACACTGACCCCAAAGACCCATTCTCTCACATGTGGGACTACCAGCTTTCTCCAGCTTGATTTGAAACCTCTAGAATTTTTGAGTACAGTGGACCCCCACCTTACGATATTAATCTATTCCTGAGAGCTCATCGTAAGCCAAAATTATCGTTAGCTGAATTAATTTTCCCCATAAGAAGTAATGGAAATCAAATTAATCCGTTTCCGACACCCCAAAGTATGAAAAAAAAAAAATTTACCACATGAAATATTAATTTTAATACACACAAATTGGTAGTAGGTTGGTAGACAGCAGCCACCCAGGGAGGTACTACCGTCCTGCCAAGTGAATGTAAAACAAAAGCCTGAAATTGTTTTACATGATGGTAGGATTGCTGGTGTCTTTTGTCTGTCTCATAAATATGCAAGATTACAGGTATGTCTTGCTACTTCTACTTACACTTAGGTCACACTACACATACATGTACACGTTTATTTATACACACTCATATGAGTTTTCTTTGATTTTATCTTAATAGTTCTTGGTCTTATTACTTTTCCTTTTATATCCATGGGGAAGTGGAATAAGAATCTTTCCTCCGTAAGCCATGCGTGTTGTAAAAGTCAACTAAGATGCCGGGAACAATGGGCTAGTAACCCCTTTTCCTGTAAAGATTGCTAAAAAGAATAAGAAAAAGAAAATTGTCAAAGTGGGAAGTCTGAATGTGCGTGGATGTTGTGCAAATGATAAGAAAGAGATGATTGTGGATGTTATGAATGAGAAGAAACTGGATGTCCTGGCTTTAAGTGAAACAAAGCTGAAGGGGGTGGGAGAGTTTCAATGGAGAGGAATAAATGGGATTAGGTCAGGGGTTTCAAATAGAGTTAGAGCTAAAGAAGGAGTAGCAATAATGTTGAAGGATAAGCTATGGCAGGAAAAGAGGGACTATAAATGTATTAATTCAAGGATTATGTGGAGTAAAATAAAGATTGGATGTGAAAAGTGGGTTATAATAAGCATGTATGCACCTGGAGAAGAGAGAAGTGTAGAGGAGAGAGAGAGATTTTGGGATATGTTGAGTGAATGCGTGGGGAGTTTTGAATCAAGAGTGAGAGTAATGGTGGTTGGGGATTTCAATGCTAAAGTGGGTAAAAATGTTATGGAGGGAGTAGTAGGTAAATTTGGGGTGCCAGGGGTAAATGTAAATGGGGAGCCTTGAATTGAGCTATGTGTAGAAAGAGATTTGGTAATAAGTAATACATATTTTATGAAAAAGAGGATAAATAAATATACAAGGTATGATGTAGCACGTAATGAAAGTAGTTTGTTAGATTATGTATTGGTGGATAAAAGGTTGATGGGTAGGCTCCAGGATGTACATGTTTATAGAGGGGCAACTGATATATCGGATCATTATTTAGTTGTAGCTACAGTTAGAGTAAGAGGTAGATGGGAAAAGAGGAAGGTGGCAACAACAAGTAAGAGGGAGGTGAAAGTGTATAAACTAAGAGAGGAGGAAGTTCGGGAGAGATATAAACGACTGTTGGCAGAAAGGTGGGCTAGTGCAAAGATGAGTAGTGGGGGGGTTGAAGAGGGTTGGAATAGTTTTAAAAATGCAGTATTAGAATGTGGGGCAGAAGTTTGTGGTTATAGGAGGGTGGGGGCAGGTGGAAAGAGGAGT